TTTATTTTGTTTTCATATTTTTGTATGAAATATTTTTAAAAGTGTGTGTCAGAAAAATCTGTGATGAAGTACAATGGAAATCAAACCCTGTTAGACCAATCCTAAGGTTGACTCCTTGGGCCTGTGGCTATGTGCATGTGGCTCAGTGATCATATATATGTACGTCTGGGCAAGTAGTCTCCAAGGGGAAAGATGTGTTGCAACAAACAAGCAAATAAAGAGAAACAGATGATGAAGCAGGCAACTTGATATTCCTTATTTCTAAAAGCAAATACTTAAGTCCACTGGCCTTTAAGAGGCATATACTTCAGAAGCCATGGTCTTGTCCATCCTTATTCTTGACTGTATCTTAGAAAATCAAGGTCCCAACGCATAGCTGGAACTCAGAGAACCACACAGAATATTAAGAGTTCAAAACAGCAGTCAGGGCTGCTTTCCCAAGGTGGTTCCTCCTGTTGTGGTTTTACAGGGTGGAGGGCTCAGGAGAGTATGCACCACTATCTGCGCTGTAGCAGATACGTTTCATGGCTCGCTGCCCAGATTGTCTAGCTCTGCACACAGCTTTGTAGTCTTTTGAGGGATACATGGGAGGAATGCATTCTTAACAGCTCTCTATCCCTGCAATGGCTTCTTTATTCTAAGAAATCATCTGAGGCCAAGAAAGGAATTCATTTTTTAGTACAACTCTAAATGGCACAAAGGGTATGGATTTTCACCTTATTTCTAACATGTAAAAATCTTGTTGATTGCACTTGGCAAATTAAAAAATGTAGTCTACTTTTCATTACATAAATTAACAGTTCAAAAGCAGAAACCTTGTATGCCTATTTTAATAGGTATTCAAACGCATTCTCTGGGAAAGAAGTACATATTTCCTGATTTTATATCACATATACATTCTCTATGCAAGTGTACATACAGTTATTTCTGACAAGTAATCATATTTTAAAGCAACTCTGATCCTGAAGAGTTGTATACAGTATTTAAAGTTGTAGACTGGAACATCTATTCTCTAAGTCTTTTTAAAGAAAATTTATTGTCTATTACTTTGTAAAAAAAAAAAAAAGCTCTCCTCATGATTGCATAATTAAAAGCTAATTTGTAAAAATTTATGAAGTTACAATCAGACTGGTTTAAAGCAAGAAAATCTGTAAAATCCGTGCCCTCCCCTCAAAATACTGGCTGGTTCTCATTTGACATTCTGTTCTCCATACCCAAATCTACATCTTCAGACAAAATGTTAAGTATCTTCATTAAACAACTCAAATTCTGTCTCCTTCCTTATGAAACAGGTTATCCTGCAGGAGAGACTGTATCACTTAAACTATTGCAAGGAACTTCTTCCCTGCTCATCTATCACCTGGAAAGACTGCTCTGATATGAAGCTTGAATGAAAAGTAAAAACCCACTTGACTGTCTCAAAATCATGACAAAGTGGCCAAAGAAAATCAATCAAGGAAAACAAAAACAAACAGCACAGACAAAAACATTCTCAGCTTACTTAAACCTTCTGTGCTTAGCCAGTTGGGGGCTCCACCTCCGGCTCCCTCCACCCATCCTTTTCCTGGCTCCAAGTCTATAAACCTGTCCCCTGCCTCCTTCTCCCTGTTTCTCACACTTTCCCCACAGGTTTTAGTTGCTCCTGCTAAGTAATCTTTGCTTGCTCCATTCCCAAATCATAATCATCTCATATGCTATACAGTACTGACATGAGAAGCAGCCTCAGGTTCACAGCCAATCTATTTTCTTTCTCACAGAATCTTCTGAAATATCACCTTTGCACAATAAATCCTGACTGAGTGGTAAACAATCATCTAAAATATACACACACCAATGAGTCCAGTTCATACCGGGGAAGGCCACAAAGACCCACAGGTAATCTAAAATGGCTCTTTAACCTTAAAATGTTATGAGGGAACTTAAAAGACAAAGGCACTATTCTCATTAAATAATGGACAAATACAGTAACTTTGGCTAGTAATTCTTTAAAAAAAAAAAAAAAAGTTAAATTTGCATCATTCCCTGGGTCCAGCAAAAAGACCTCCTTCCTCTCCTTAAGATTGGCAAGGTGATGCAAATATTCCATTCTCAGCCAGTACTGCAGACATTTCATCCTGCAATTCTTCCCAACCCAAAGCTCTCTTCATTAAGGAACAGGCTGCCCTCCTCCAGCCCTGACCTCCTCCTCCAGCTTAGTTTTGGAAGTAAGCCAGATGACAGCATTTGGAGAAGCACAAGTTTATCTCAGCAAAGCTTGCTGTTCAACAAAAAAAGTGGTGCTGGTGAAATCTGTAATTTAAAGTTTCATATACTACCCACATAAACTTATTTTTCAGTCACTGATTGTCGAATGAAACAATTCATTTCATCCCTCTTTCCCCTCATAATTCCTCTAATGGCAACAATTTACTCCAATTTTCTGGAGCCATTTAAAAATAAATGTAAATCTATTACAAAATAATTTTCGTTAAAGTACTAATTCATATGCCACTTGGGGGAAAAACCCACTAATAAACACTGTAAATAGGAAAATCTAAAACCCAGCATTTACATGTATCCAAAAGTAATACCAGAATATTTAAATGCTAGAATTCCAAAAGAAATTAAAATTAAATCTTCTTGACAGTCTCAGAGTCAAACCTCATTTAACTTCACACCATAACAGTAAAATCCAGGCAACACATTTGTCTGGACAAGAAATATAAAAGCAAACAGTTAAAATCAGGCTTTAAAAAATCAGACCCTTATAATTAAATCATTTAACTACTATTTTCTGAACTATCACTTTCTCATGACTCAAAATGTGAAAGAAAAATAAATTTTAAAAACACTCTTATGAAAATACAAATATTAAAAATTTTATCCATAAGCTTAAATATTTCGTGATTTCTTATATGAGAAATCCAAAATATAAATAAAGAGCAAAATAAAAGATAGGTAATAGAAAATAGCATGATAGACCTTTTGCATATGGGACAGGGACTAAGAGATGGAGAGAGTGGGGAGGAAGGCCAGGGAAAGAGGATTTAAAAAACATGTGTTATGCACATGTACCAGCTACCCATGAGGAATCATTACGTAATACAAACATGCAGTAATGTTTATGTTGAAAAAATATTTTCAGTATAGGTAAAATTGCAACTATTTACACCTTACTTTGTTCCTTAAACAGGAACAATAAAAACATTTTTAAAACCTCATTTTGCGTCATTTTCCCCGCAAAAAGCATCCTCTGAATGCCAACACTGAAAAGTGCTCAGAGCCCCTCATCACCTCGGTTAAACTGGAATAATGTGAACTTCTTCAAGGTGCCCTCTGCAACCAAGTTCGTCTGGCCTGGGGCTAAGTTTTATCATTTTTCCTTTCACTTAGTAGTGAAAGAAGTCTGAAATCTATGAATATAATTGTCAGCACTCTCTGCACAGTTCAAACCGGCCACCACTGTTCTCTGAAGTCACTCAAACCCCATTTCCAGTGTGTCAACTCATTCACGAGGTTACATGATCCTAAATGTGAGAAATAATTTGCACAGACTAAGCCTTAAGCAGGGTCAGATTACATTAGAGATGCAGATGCCTCTTCGCCACGACGACCAGAAACTACCTCTACTGGCCCAAGGACATCAACGCGCACACCAGACAACAAGAGAAAAACCGAACCTCCGAAACACAGTGCATTAAACCAAATCAGCCAGGAGGGTTCAATTTGCAACTCCTCCAAGACGCTCGGGTTGGACATCCAAAGAGCACCATTTTGAGTTCAAAATCCGCACTTCACGCGCAGAAATCAGCGAGCAGACCACTTAAATGGAGGTTTCACTTGGCAGAGGCAAAGGTTTGAAACAACTCAACTAATTGCGCGCGGAAGCACCAAGACTATACTGTCAGATGCCTTCGAACTCAATAGGTGCAGCCAAGACTTGGCGGCTCCTCCTCCCCCTGCTCCCGCACAGCATTCAAGCACAATCCTTCATCTTCGCTAGGATTCCTAAAGCTCCGGGTGGCACGCGCGCCAACGGTCTCTGCCAGGTTAACGCGCAGAGAACCCGAATATTCACTCTACTTCTAACAACTACGGATCTACGAATTAAATCTTATCCACCCAGCAAGGTGCAGATGAAGCATCCCTTAAAGCAGAGGTGGCGACGAAGCGCTCCGTTTCGTTATCTGATAACGGGCCAGATGTACGCATTACTCCGCAGCCCGCAACGCTGTTACAAAATCCACCAAATCTGAGACCCGCACGACACCCGCGGGTCCAGTTCTGCTCACCCTAACAACGCCACCGGGGTCCTGAACCCAAACGCTGCGGATTCGTACGTGCCACCCTTCCGTTAGTGCACACTGTGCGGGCGACTGTTGGAGAGGACCGAATTTTACCCACTGCGTTAGTTTAAGGGGAAAAGAAGGGAGGCGCTTGCTTCGGAGCCAAGCATCCCCATCCCGCCGCGCGGTCCGCACACCCTCCGCCCGCCCGGTCGCGGCTCCTCCTGCCCTCCAGCCAGGGCCGGCGCCGCACGCGGGTCGCTCGGGGCCACCTCGCTCCGGCTCCGCCGAACAAAGGGCCCGCG